TGAGGATCAAAAGAGATTAAGTGAATGACATGTTTGTAAACTTCAAAGATGAGAGAAATGTCAGCAGTTATTATGCAAAATTCGACTCAATTGTCATTTGATTCCCTGCTCCTAAGGAGGCACTAGTGGGAGCTAGGTGTCAGGGAGGCACAAGGGTAGGCTACAAAGGCAAGAATGGATTTAGGTTCAGGGAACCTGGCTTCCAATCCAGAGTTTGCCCCTTATTACTATGTTTGGGATCTTGAGCAAGTCATTGTAAAATGAAGATGTCTGACCAAATGATCTCTACAGTGTCTGAGACAATACAGCCTATATACTTCCTAAGATCTCCTCTCAATGGGTGATTGTATTCATAGTGATGGCAGCTCATTTTTAGTGTTGATATATTTTGGATTCAGTTACAGATTTTCTTTAGTTAGGAAGGTGGGTATATAGGTCTTTAGTCTTTGCAGGCTTCCTCAGCTCCCATCCCCCAAATGGAGACTCTCCTTTCAAATATAGTTAAACCCAAATGATAGGGAATATAATAACTATATTTACCGTTCCCTGATAGGGATATGATTGCTCTGTATCAATGCCTCCATTTTTCTTCACATATTGAAAGGCATTATCCATTAAACCACCATTACAGCCTTCGTTGCCATAATCCTTAGAGCAGTCAACCAAATTCTGTTCACTAAGTGAAACAAGTTTGCGTGTTTTATGGAACCACTGGCCTTCCAGGGAACCAGTTGCACTAAATGCCCAGCAAGAACCACAATGACCCTGCAAAGGTCCAAAGGAAGTACTGGTTAGTATACAAGATAATCTTACTCATCTTTTAAGAGATTGTTTTATCAATCATAAGCTTCACTGAGCTTTATTTGGGTTATCTACAGATCAAGCTTAAGCAACTTTTCATACCTGATTCTTAACAGGAGTTACATAGCCTTTTTCTCTCCAGTCTACAGATTCGGGCGTCTGTACAAGGAGAGGTTCACGAAACAGAGTTCCTTTATTCCTTTGAAATCTGTTTTGTCTAAAACCATTCATCACCTGCCTGAATTCATCACTGGTCTAAAATGAAAAGAAAGGTGATTTACATTAAGTATGTCTTGAGCAAAAGATAACTGACTACTCAGCATTAAAATCAGATTGTAACAACACACTCACCATATCGCCAAACTTGTTCATTTCCAACTGGAAACTATGCTTGCCAGCGCTGTACTGTCGATTGTGCATTTCAATCATTCTCATATTCTTCTCCCATGTTGCTCTCCTCCAATTATCTTCATTCTGAAAGTAAAAAAAAAAAAATGTAAGGTTCAATAAGCTTCTGCTTATATTATTACACATACTAGTAAAACTATCCTCAGACCAAATCCACTATCAATCACTTGGTTAACACCCAGTTGGGATGGTGACCACATTGAAATATTGCCATCCCAGAAGGAGTTCCAAATTCTGATGCTACAGACATCCCTAGCCTCTAAACTTCTATGAGAAAAGCAGCAATGCTGAGCAAATGAAGTTCTTGTCTGGATAATCTTTGGCTTCTGGTGAAAGGACATTTCATTAGTCCACCTTGGACATGCTGTACTCATTATAGTTGGGGGAAGAAGTAGTTTAAAGCTTACCGCTCCATAGGTCCTTCTATGTTTTGACTTCCATTGGTGCCATTTAGCATCTAAAGTCCGGTCAAGTTGTGGAACAACTTGTTGTGCAGCTACTATCCCCAAGCACAAGCAAGCTAAACACACATACAAATTCATGTTTCAAACCTTAAGGGGAAAAATGGAAGAAAGCGATAGAAAATGTGTAAGATTAAAAATCAAGCCAAACCAAAAATCTAATTCTTGGTTTTTTTTGGGAAATAAACAGTCTTCACCCATCAATTGGGGAATAGCTGAGCAAGCTGTGGTATATGAATATAATGGAATACTATTGTGCTATAAGAAATGATGAACAGGCTGACTTCAGAAAAACCTGGAAAGACTTGTAGGATTGATGCTGAGTGAAATAAGCAGAAGCAAGAGAATGTTGTACACAGTAACAGCTATGTTGGGCAATGACTAACTTTGATAGACTTAGCTCTTCTCAGTAATGCAAAGATCTAAGACTTCTCCAAAGGCCTCATGATGGAAAATGCTATCCACATCCAGAGAAAGAACTATGGAGTTTGAATGCATATTGAAACATACTACCTGTTATTTTTTTCTTCTATTGTGTTTTGTTTCCTCTTTCTGGTGGTTCCTTTTATTGGTTCTAATTCTTCCTTAGAATATGACTAATGTGAAAATATGCTTAATAGGAATGTATATGTATAGCCTATATCAGATTGTGTGCCATCTTGGAGGGGGATAGAGGGAGGAAAGGGAGAGGGAGAGAAATTTAAAAAGCTTATGGAAGTGATTGTTGATAAATCAAAATAAATTAATAAAAATTAAAAAAAAATTTTCCCAATTGAAAAACAAATTTTATTTCACCAAATATTCATACAATATTTAGTTATGTGCTAAGTATTGTATGTGGGGTGGGGTACAGTGAGGGTAAATGATGTAATGCTGATCTAGAGTTTTTCAGGGAGTTTAGACATTGATACAATATTAAAACCAGAGACAATGCTCGATCAGGGGCTAACAATAATAGTACAAATAAGAAAAATGGACATCCAGTTCAAAAACTGTAACTGTTTTTAGAAGCTGAAATGTGCTCCTAAATTTTATGGCAGTGGTTCCCAAAATAGAAGCCAAGGTCTGACCACAGTGAGTTAGAGGCAGGTGGCACAGTGAATAGAGAGCTGGACCTAGGGTTAGGAAGACCTGAGCTCACATCCTGCCTCAGACATTTAGTAGTTGCTGTGGGGTTGTAGGCAAATCACTTAAACACTCTTAGCCTCAGTTTCTTTATTTGTAAAATGGGGATAATAACAGCACCTACCTCACAGGGTGGTTGTGAGGATAAAATGAGATATTTGCAAAGGGCTTAGGAAACCTTAAAGCACTAGCTTTTTGAAATTATCATTGTTGTTAACAACTCAGAAGCTGAGGTACCCGTTCCACTCCCTGTCAACCTACAAGGCTTGTCTAGTGTAATACAATTACACTAATAATCTCTTACTCAGTCTTCTCTCTCAGGTTCCCCAACTAAAGGCAGCTATGATGAAACTGGTACCAAGAAGCACCATTTGGGAAAATGGGGGAAGGGAGGGAGTTGTAGCTGAAGCTGTGACTAGTAAAAGACTATCTCTCTCCCTGTGAGTCCCACAGGATGAGGTAAGAGTTTGTGGGATACGCACATTTTATTACATTATTTTTCTCCTCCAACCCATCCCATTTCCAAACTATGACAGCTATTATTGTCAAGGATACCATAGGCCTTCCCAAGTTCTCACCTCAGTCTCACCTTCAACTCTCCCTTGACTTAGCTATCCAATTGCCAAAGCATCTGTCTTTGTTCTTCACAAAAGCCTAGTTCAGGCCCTAATCACCTCTCCAATGGATTTTTGCAATAGGCTTCTAATTCATCACATGCCCCCAAGTCTTCCTCCATTCCATCCTATCCTCACACAGCAGCCAAAACCATTCTAAAGTGACCATTTTACTCTTATAATCTCCAGTATTCTCCTGTGTTTCTGTGGTCCATAGGATCGTATTTATTTCATTTTTATCTGATACTTTAAAAAAACTTCTGTTTTTGTGTATTAGCAGTAGCGCATGTATAATTTATAGAACACATTGGGGGAGCACTTATTTTAATTTTTTAATTCATTAAATTTTTTTTTTCCTGATGGAGGTGTGTGTGTCCTAGCAAAAGTCGGCAGATTGCTGCTTTATTGAGGGCAGGGGCTGTCTTTTGACTCTTTATAACCCCAGTGCTTAGCACAATGATGGCACATCACAGGTACTGAATAAATGTTTTTCTTAAAGCCATTACAACATGTCTAAGCCTCTCTCTAAACCAATCACCAAATGCCCCTTCTCCAGAACTCAACACAACTCCATTTCTCAGGACCATGACCAAGCAACATACTAGAGTAGAATACAGATAGATTTGACATCAAAGTGACTGAGTTCAATCCTGGCTTCTGCCACTTACTACCATATGGGCATGTCACTTCACCCCAGGGCCTCAGTTTCTTTGAGATCCCTTCCAGTTCTAAATCTTTGATCCTATAGAGTCTAAAGGTAAGGCTTTAGAGTCAGCTGCTGATAGAAGGAATGGAGAAGAGGAAAGCCTTTTCTGTCTTTTCTACAGCAGAGTGAAGTAGCCACCTCCAGACTTTCAGATCCTATCAGGTTTAGATCCAAAGGCTCTGCAAGCCAAAATCCATCTTTTACAAATACAAGGAACAGGAAGCAGGTCACTCAAAACTCTGGACATTTAAACCTCCTGCATCCAAAAACAACTTCTTCCCTGACTCTCTCCTAATAAGCTCCACCTCTCCAATCCGGGAAAGGAGGTCACGTGGAGGCGCCCATGTGAGCCAGGACCCCCAACACCACTAGCCAGGGGGGAAGGGACTTGGCTGGAGGCCAGGAGCCACCCCTCCCAACACTATCCCCATCCCCGGGGCACCAGCTGCGAGGAGATTTGCAAGGCATTGTAAGGGGCCTTTCAAGCGAGCCCCGGGACCCGATCTTTTCCTCCTCCTCTGGAGCACAACCTTACACACATACTCAAGCAAGTACATTTACACTTCCTTAGCCCCCCACCCCCACCCCAGGGATGTCTGCAGAGTTTGCAACCAGAGGAAATCCAGAACTGCTCCAGGTCATCGGAGATGAATAAACCCAGGAAAGGGAGGCAGAACAGTCCCAGATCAGATCCAGGAAGGAAGTCACAGGTCATCCTGGGGCGGGCCCCTCCTCATCCCCAAATCAAGCCAAAACGTGACCCTCCTCACCGCCCCCTCCTCCCTATCATCTCCTCTCCCATTAAGTGCGGGCCAAAAACACACCCCAGCCTCCATAAGCAGCGGACTCAGCTCCCTGCACTTCCGTAATAGTAATGATAATAAAAAGAAAAGGCAAACATACCTTTAACGCTTTTTAAGGTTTGCAGAGGGCTCTACAGATGCTCCCCGATTTGAGCTTCCTAACAACCTTCCTGGGAAGTGGATGCTATTAATTTGTCCTTGTTTCACGGTGGCCTCAAGAAAGGCTACAACACCCTGAAGTCCACCGCCCCCCATCCCTCGTTCTGGTAGAACCCACAACACACACACACACACACACACACACACACACACACGAACCCACAACACACACACACACGAACCCACAACACACACAAGAACCCACAACACACAGAGAGCTGGCCAAGCTCTGCCCACCCAGCCGCACAAACTCTTCCCCAACCATCCCCCTTCCCAAGTCCGGGCTCTGTCCCCCTCTTTCTCTCCTTCCCATCCCGGGGGTCCCCCGGAGCCTGAGGACTTTGCCCCTTTCCGAGCCTCTCCCTCGGACCTGGGAGCTGCGACTCGCCCAGCCCTCACCTGAGCGTCTCAGCAGCGGCGGGACCTGGGGAGAGCCGGACCTCTAACAAAACTTGAGGGTCCGGGCGGGAGATT